GGGGGGGGGGGGGGGGGGGGGAGGAGAATGACCATATATAGAGGCTGTAACACGTTACCAGAGCAATGGAAGCAAAGAGGATGTACTGGCAACATTTGTAACGTTACTTTCAGTTAAACTTGAAGATAAAACTAACTTTAAAGACTCACTCAAAAGAATGCTCACCAAATATCAAGCTAAACAAGAAATGACTGTGCCTATAAAGCCAAGTCTTGCCTGGTTATTTCAACAACTGCACTTTGTCCAATGACGAAAAAGATTCTTACCTAAGTTTTTGTTTTTACTCATCAATTGGCTTCCCACACTCACAGAGGAGGTACTGAAAACATCTGGTACATTCAGTAAGATACCTAAAGAGATGGTTAACGTCAAAGGAACCAGCATTTTGTCCTGAGTTTAGTCACCTAGCTGCAGACTCAAGTAAACGTTACAAAATCTATCGTATTTATATCTAAATGCCTGGGCCATGAGCGCTAGATACGCACAAAGGCATGAAAAATGGCCTCTTGGAGCTTAAGTGTTTCATACAAAGCCACGAACGTTAGCAATAAGGAAATAATTGTCTTGGCACCAACTTAACAACGCAACATACTAAATATGAGTGCAGGTGTGTGACTCGTTTTTATTCAAAACTACGTCAAACCTATTTTTTTTCCTCAAGCGAACACGGCAAATATCGTTAGTCACCCACCCACACAACAATAAGCTATTTAAGATGGGACATATAGGATGTTTGCTAACGTTTAATGACCAAAAAAGCCTAAAAGGGACCGAAATGACGTTTTGGTTATCAAAAGAACGTAGACCCTTGGACAGCTGACAGCCGATAAATATCTTGAAAATATGTTTTCCTTTTCTTCCAACCTAAAAACCAGTTTCAGCATGTTCTGAAGGACAGTCTTATTTTCAGGTGACTCAAAGTTTTGATATTCTTTGTAATGCTGATATTCGTTGTAATGCTGCTTCTTAACGCAGGAAGTATCGATGAAATACGTATGGGAAAATAGAAGAAACAAAAAGAATAAATTCGTTTGCGTGAGAAATACACCGGAACTAAAATGTTTTGAGAGTTTTCACGACGATTATGGCAAGCTTACGTTGGTTTGATCGACTGGATGCACGCACGGATAACTTTTGGAGGAGCTGTAGAAAAGTTGATCAAAAATAGAAAAAGTAAGAAGTAGGCATTCCACATGCGATCAAAGAAAATTAACGGTCATAGTGGACTGTTAAAATAATAGTACTTTGAAATTCAGAAATGCAGTTCTAGATAGCATGCATGTAATTAATAATAAAATTCTGTTTTATGGTTAAAGAAAGCGACCACAAGATCATTGAGGAAGAACTTACTTTGTTACTTACGAATTTTTACTTTATTAGTGGTCACATTCTTATCATTATATACCTTTCTCGCTTGTTTCCATGTATGCATTGTTCATGCGGCTTTCATTGTTAAAACTCTTGCTTAGCATAACATCCAATAATACTCAACTCATTTTTCTTCAATAGAAATATCGGCCCAAAATTCGATTATCAAGAGGGCTTGGAGCTGTCCATCGAGGAAATCTATAAAATGGACTTGCGTTAGAAAACAGGACATGAAAAAATAAATTTCCGCAACCGCAGCCTTTGTTGAATTCCAAATTCTTTCAGTTCGTTGAGGCCGCTTAGAACAACCACCTTTTCCTGTGCTTATATTTTTAAGTTGCTGACTCATGTGAAATCCGCTTTTAAGTCTTGAGTACTCCAGTTTGTTTTGTGTTGAATTGTGAAAAACGTCATGAAAGTACCTCGTTAGTCCATAACGTCGTCGCTACAAAACATATCAGCTATTAATTTCATGGCAGGTCAATTACGTTCCTACGCTGCTGCTTGAAGGATCTTAAACGTTATCACAAGTGGGAAGTTGTTCACATTCTTTAGGCAGAAAATTTTAATAGCGTTTAGTAACCAAGAATTGAGTTTCAAGCTGGAATGAACGACTTGAGAAGGTGTAAAAGTACTTTTAAAAAAGTTTCTTATACTATTTAGCTTTGGTTTTTGCAGCTTTCGACGCCTTTAATGGTGTGTTAGGTATAGGAGCTCGCTGAATCTTTCAATTCACTACTTCCTGGGGTTCGCTTTTGTCTGAGGTTTAATATTGATTCAAATTTCTTAAAGACCAGACTGGATGGTCAGATCATGGTTAAAATAAACCGGTTTCAAGTTTTATCTGAGTCATACCACAAAACGCACGCAAGTGAAAAGAAAATCATTAGACAGATGTTCTGGGTGTGTTTTCCCATCTTTGTGCATGCTGTGTTCTTTGCGTTTTATAGAGTGTTAAGACAAGAAGAGAGGAACTTTCCCGGGCGTTCACGTTGATGTTAGCTTTACCATCACTATTATTATAAAGTAGCCCTGTTTTTTGTGATTTGAAGGAAGAAAGGTCAGAATTAAAATTAAATACCAAAAGAGACATTAGCTGGGACTTGCTTAATAAACTCTTTTCATTGTTAATCAAACCATTCAATATCCTTTGTGTCTTTTTCATCCTTTGAGAACGTTTCTTTTAGAGCATATTAGTTTTGAAATGTATTTGCAGAAACTTTTCAACTTCCAACGTTGGCGAACAATCATGAAAGGAATATTGCATAGTCTGAACGGGTCTAATATATTCACAGTTGGGTGTAAAAGTNTTCATGTTGATGTTAGCTTTACCATCACTATTATTATATAGTAGCCCTGCTTTTTGTGATTTGAAGGAAGAAAGGTCAGAATTAAAATTAAATACCAAAAGAGACATTAGTTGGAACTTGCTTAATAAACTCTTTTCGTTCTTAATCAAACCATTCAATATGCTTTGTGTCTTTTCATCCTTTGAGAACGTTTTGTTTAGAGCATATTAGCTTTGAAATGTATTTGCAGAAACTTTTCAACTTCTAACGTTGGCGAACAATTATGAAAGGAATATTGCATAGTCTGAACGGGTCTAATATATTCACAGTTGGATGTAAAAAGTCGATTCGAGTGGAAAATTACGCTGATGAATTTTTGGATCCACTGCTTCGAGATTGATCAATATTACGAATATTTGGCTTAAAATTCAGTGTGCAGGCTTGGTGCATCAAAGTTTTAGAAGATTCGCTGCGACGAGCATACGGTGTTAATCGAAACAAAAGTCACTTTATAATCAAAATCTGCCCCAAGTTTGAAACGTTCCGTCCACACTACGCCGCAGGAATTTGAAGACGGAGATTTCACTCCGCATCAAATGTTTTCCGTCCACACTGTGCCGGAGGAAAAAGTTTGAACATTCAACAATACGCAGTCATTCTGGATTTGTGGTTGAACAAAACTCAGACAGGAAAATATCACATTGTTATCGAGATGTCATCGCCCTCGAAACGCCGGCTCCGTTTTTAAAATACACTAAAACGCAAAACCGGCGTGTTCAGATTCCTCTGGTTTGAATGGCGTTTTCGAAAATCTCCGTTTTCGTGGCGGATTAGTGTATACGGTAGGCGTAACCGTAGAAATAAAGTTGCGTTTTCAAAGTCTTCAAATTCCTCCGGCGAAGTGTGAAAGGGGCTTAAAGTGAACTGTCCACGAAGCAATCACGTTAGTTCGACATGTAGATCACTAGTTAAGACATGGGTTAGTTAATGTTTAAAGTAAGCAGCAAGAAAAGGGTTTAGAAAGTGTCTGTGATCCAAGAAAAAATAATAACAATTTAAGAAATTAAAATTAAGTATCATAAATGTACCACAGGATCAGATAAAATGAACGTGGTTTGGTACATCACAGTGCAAACTGATCAGCACGCGAGCTAAAATCAAATGAATAATCAACTGAACTCTATTGATAGTACCACCTTGGGCAGGCAATTTCTTGATACACGCAAGAGTTGAAAGAGAATATTTATATGGTAATTTGCGTCTGTTATTTTCGGTTTTAGAACTGAATGCAAACAAGCTCTTAGAACGGGAATGCCTTGTCATATAGACATCGCAACTACGTTACTGCTTGTTTGGTGACATGCCCCTGACTGAGGCAGGCTAAAATCAAATGTTGGTGATATTAAGCATTTCAAATTCTTCATTAAAGTACTTTCACCTTAACAACAAGTGACAGACGCATAAAAAGGGAATATTTTACCTAATTTGTGATCCTTTCGACTCCCATAATGGTTTAACGAGATGTTAACGACTGAAAAGTCTGGAATTAGCAGCGAAAATGAAGAATTGTAGTTTATTCTAATTTCATTAAGTTCTATATTGTGTCTCCATCACCAACACAGCGAAAAATGTCTCTTGTTCTTTTATTATGCACGTAAAGCAATTTGACAGAAGCTTTTGAAACAAATGGATTGAATACTCAATTCAAGATTGCCTGTTGTCACCCGGCTAATTATGCATGCTTTGCCTCACGCACTAGATTTTTAAAGCCCGCAGAATATAGCCAAAAGAATTTAAAAGCACTTAGTTGTTTCATTTGAAGTGATGACATGACAAATTTCTGCATTTCAGATTCTGGTGGTGTTTGTTTCATAATTTATATTCAGTGATTTTTTTTACTGGGTAACTTCAATATTATGTTTTCAGAATGAGAAACGCAATGTTTTTCCAACACGATTTTTGCTGATGAATGCCTTAATTCCACTGCGCTGAAATGCATAATTGTCCTACCGGATTCCTTAACAGTCTTTTTCCCTGTTCTGGGTTTAAAAAAATTGTCTATGAAAGGCACAGAATTCAAAACGAAAACATTATATCCTCCCGAAATTTTCTAGAGCTTCAGTAGTAGGCCGAAGAACTGAAAAATAGATGAAATTTAACTTAAACAGAAACAGTATCAAATCTTGGAAATATACTTCCGTTTTTATTCAATGATTAATTTTCAAATCATTCCACCTGTGTACAAACGAAGGTGTTGGTATAATAATAAATATTTTCAATTTCATGTGCTTTTTCTCTCATATTATATATGGTTCAAGATATCTGCAAAGCTTTTATGTGAGTGAATGATATTTTTCTCATTTGTAGCAACGATTCCAACCAGTTTTGCCCACGGTTTCGGTTAGCAATTCAATCAAAAAAAAATTTAAAAAAAAAAATTAGCAATGGATTTTAAGATGTACTACGCTTTTGCCACAAAACGTCAGTTAATTCTCACACGTTGTTAAAAATATGAAATATTCTTAACTAGGGCAGTTCAGTACAACGAAAGATTGCGTGATATAAACGACAAGTGGCTACCGTCATTTTGATTTCCTATCCACTCAAAAAAAGCAACATAATATAACCAGAAACAATTTTGTCTACACACTTGAAATTACTACTATACAATATCTCTTTTGGCATAAATGGCACTGACTACGGGAATTAACCCATGATGTGTGAGAGTGATGCCAGATCATGAAATACCACAAGGAAAAAAATAATAAAGCTAGGGTAACAAGGCAACGTAATCTCTTACGCGATAAGCGTCCACTGTCATACTTAAAATAAGAATGAACATGAACAAAGTAAGACAAAATCATTCGAATTGAATTTGGATTTGCCTAACAAGCACAATCCTTCCTGATAAGGGATTTAAACCATCGCAGTTCTGTTAATTGTATTTTAAACACGATTGTTAAGGGCGTGGTATTGCTGTAATACTTAATGGTCGTGTATTGACTATGCATGAGTAAGACCCACTTAGGTCCTTGAAGGAAC